TTGGTTTGGAACATGCCTAACAAAGAGGAAGAATCTACATAATTACCAGCTATTGCTGGATGCCAACCGTTAGTTGTCAACGAGGAATGATTTTTCTTTTCTTCGTTTTTACCCTTCTCGTTGACTCCTTTTGCAGGAAATCTGAGCTCGTCACTCCACTTTGATGGATTTGGTGATAAAACTAGCGGGGAAAGTAATGGAATTGCCGTTGAATTATTCTTGTTGTTGTTACTATTGCTAGAAACATTGCTGTTCAACTTCGAATCAAGTTGAAGAGACGAAGGCGCCTGCTTCTGTAGCCTGGTAGGTGGTTTCCCAACTCCGGGTTTGTTCTTAATTGTAACTTGCTTCTCAAATTCTCTGTCATTCATGCTCTCCATTACTGGTTTAATGTTTTTCGACTTCTTCTTTTTACTCGCTTTCTTTACGCAGATATTCACACGCGTGAACAGACAAGGAAAAGTAATATTATTCATGATTGTGCCATGAAATTTGAGAAGTCTATATATATATATGTTCATGAAGAGGGTGAAAGAAAAAAGATTGATGATACTGGTCAACTTAGACATTGCCTTGGAAAGGCGCAAAACAAGGACAATCAATTATCAAGATGAAAATAGCAACATATATTTGAATGACAGTTAAATGGTAACGGTCATTTGCTTAGTTATGTGATTTGGTTGACTCTTTTATTTTTGCTTTAAAGGTTAAGTTTTAGCTTTCCACATTTTTTAAAAAAAAAAATTAGGGTTTTGAGATTTTTTTTCTTTTTGGGTTTAAATTTAGATTCTCCTGCTTTGACCATGTTGCTCTTTATCAGTACTATTATTTCAGGAGTTTCCAAATTAGAAAATCTAATTTTTTGAGTTCATTGCATTTGACCAATAATGCATATAAATATTTACAGATATATGTATATATGGATTCTTATTTTAGACTTTTGAATGTCTTAAATGTATTCTATTTTTCGTTTTACATGACGGGTAAATTTCTATTAATAATAAGTTGAAATACTAATTACAGAATATTCAACGATAGATATAATTTTTTGTGCTTAATAATTATTTTTTAATACGTAATTATTTTAAAAAATTATAATATTTTTTTTATAAAAGTATACAATTTAATAATCTTTTTTATTATTTATATAAAATTATCGATTTTTTGTGTACATCAATTCAATCTTTAAATATCAAAATATGAAAATCGACAGCGAAATAAAAATAAAAAATAGTAATTTTAGGAATTAATAATTTTAAATAAATTCCACATAAATTTAATTATTATAAAAAATAAATAATATGAATTAAATAAAGCTAGATACATTGTATAATTATGGAATTCTAGCTTACTTTATCCTTGTCCAAAAAAAAAATTACTTTATCATTAATTATAATAATTAGTCTAATTCTTTAATATTTGAATGTGAATCTTTTAAAAATTACAAATTTTAAGAATCATAATCTACTAATTAAAAAACCTAATTTGACCATTAATATGATATGATCAACTTGAGCTTTTTGTTTCAAGTTTTCACTTCTTATCACTATAGGGGTGATTCTACATATCCTCGATGAAGTTTTTTTCGCAATCAAAAATTTAATTTTGACCGAATTTTAGTTATTTTTAATTTTATTAAATTCTTAATTTTGTAATTATGTAGCTTATATTTTATCTAAAAAAGTTTTGAAATTACAAAAAATTCTTTGTATCTTTTAAGTCGGACTAAATTAGATGATTTTTTTATTTGACCGGTATATGACAAACAATATTTGAATACAAAATTTTATTTTTTAAAAGAAAAAAATATCAATCGATAATTTTATTTAAAATTTTTAAATAAATATATATATTTTTTGTAATCAGTCAAATTATATTTTATTAAAATAATTGATAACCTTTTTAAAAGAGTAAAAGTTATGATTCAAAATCAACTATCCATTTTATAAAAAAATAATTTTATGATAAAAATAAGTATAGAAAGTAACAACTAGGTATTGAAATATGGCGAATTTGGATGGGTTTTACCAAACTCGAATATAACTTGTCCATATAAATTGCAAATCCAAATCTGCCTCGGGTTTAGAAATTTGATCTCAACTCAATAATTTTATTATATTAAAAATTAAAAATATTTATTAATATAAATATAAATATATTTCTATTAATAAAAAATTTAGATATATATCGGGTCAAGTTTAGACCGATATTAAAAGGTAAAACCTCTATCCATCCCTCTTTTCATGTCTTTCCGGATTTGTTCCAATCGAAATTCGTACTTTAACAAATAAAAATAAATTTGCATTAAATCGAGTTAAAAAAAATCAAATTAAATGAATTCGGATATAAAATATCATCTCTATATGCTAACAGAGGTCACCTCCAACACTTATTCCTTTCAAGGGAAAGAAAGAAAGAACTTTAAGAGGGCATGGATTGAAAACTATGGGCACTGAATCAAACTGGTCTCCCCTAGAAAGGATAAAGGACCCAAATATCTCATAGAAAAAGGACCTCAAAAATTTAGCAATAATTCTTGTTTTTTTCTTAAAACAACATTTTAGAAGTCAAGACAAAAATATCAAAATTAACGGGAGGCCACAAAAGTCACCAAGCACAAAAGATAACCATAAAAAGCGGGAACTATCATGTTCTGCAATCGATCTAAATGTAGGAAAAATGGCTTCAAGTACTGCTTCAACTCTGCCTCTCTCAGAGCTCAAACTTTTGAAATCAAACAAACCCAAGAAGCCCATTTCTCCTTTCGTCTACTCCTGCATTAACAAAAACTTATATTCAGCCAAGTTCTCTGGTTTCAAAGCCAAGCTTCCCCTTTCTTCCGACCCCTTTTTGCACTCTGTTCGCAAACAGAGATCCAATGTGAAGATATTATCTGCTTTTTCTTTATATGAGTTTTTTTTTTTTTGGTGTTTTTGAGTGATGGGGTTTTTTGTTTTTATGAATTTACGGGTTAGATTGGAGATGGAACAATGATCAGGAGAGAATATTCTTCTGGGGAAGAAGCTGGGTCGCTTGTACCTGAAGCAGCAGGTCCTCAAGAGGAATTTTCTTGGTTTTCTGTGGTTTTGCCGTAAGTATGGCTTTTATCTTGTTGCAATGGTTCTTCTGTAATCTTGTTTTGACTAATCGGTAGTTCTATTTTTGTTTAATTTGGTGTATGGTTGTAATTGAAATTTGTGGTTTTTTACGTGTTTGACAAAATGTCCTTAGGCCTTTTCAGGGGTTAGCATCCCTTGACATTGTTGTAAAAGATCAAACCCTCTCTGTAATTTGATTCTAGAAGAGAAGACTGCTTGCAAGTTCCTAGCTAAATCTGCCTAATTATGCTAATGAAGAAAGTTGATCAATTATGAACACTAGTTGAGCATATTTGTGACATATATTTCATTAGGTGGTTAACAAATTTATGGCGCTTCTGTGATTTTAGAGTAACTGAATTTCAGGTTTCTGTTTCCGGCTTTGGGAGGTTTGTTATTCGGGTATGACATTGGTGCTACCTCTGGTGCTACCATCTCATTGCAGGTACATGTTTAGTAAATTTAATTTTTCCTTGTGATTATACAAATTAGATACTTTTGTTTCCTTGATTTGATTCAATAGCATACATACTATGTAATTCTGTTTTCTGATTTGGCAGTCACCTGACCTTAGTGGCACAACATGGTTCAACCTTTCAGCTATTCAGCTTGGTCTTGCGGTATGGTTTCTCTTACCTAGTTTCATAAAAATGGTATTCTATTTGTTTTTCTGATATTAGATTCTTTTACGCACTGTGTTATGTAGGTGAGTGGCTCTCTTTATGGGGCTCTCCTTGGTTCTCTTGTTGTCTTCCCAACTGCAGACATCCTTGGTACATCTTTACTTTATATCTAATCCAGCACTTAAAATTTCTTTTTGTATGTTCCTCATTTGTTGCACTTCCATTTGTAAAGGAAGGAAGCGGGAGCTTATCATTGCTGCAGTGCTTTATTTCTTTGGTGCTGTAGTTACTTCCTATGCTCCTGGTCTTGGGGTTCTGTTAGTAGGAAGGCTACTTTATGGCCTTGGCATTGGCCTGGTGAGCTTTTGAAGATTAATATTACGTTTGGGAAGATGTAACTTTTGTTCAGTTGAATTTTATCATTACTGAAACATTTTTCTGAAATCATGTCATTTGACAGGCAATGCATGGTGCTCCTCTTTATATTGCAGAAACTTGTCCATCTCAGATTCGTGGAACTTTAATATCTCTAAAAGAGTTATTTATAGTTCTCGGAATTTTGGTAAGATTCAAGTGATTTATGCATTGATGCTCTCCCCTTTGTTCAAAAAATGAGTTGAGAGTTGGAATATGCTTTTCCGCAGTTGGGCTATTTTGTCGGAAGCTTTCAGATTGATGCAGTTGGAGGATGGCGTTACATGTATGGGTTTGGTGCTCCACTTGCATTACTCATGGGGTTAGGCGTGTTGAGTCTTCCGGAATCTCCACGCTGGTTACTTCTCAGAGCAATACAAGGTAAAGGATCTTTAAAAGCGAACAAAGAGAAGGCCATTCTTGCAGTGAGCAAACTAAGAGGTAGGCCTCCTGGTGACAAGGTGTCCGAGAAGCAAATAGAAGACACTCTTGTCTCAATGAAATCTGCCTATTCAGATGAGCAGTCTGAAAGAAGTTTCTTGGAGGTGTTTCAGGGGCCAAGCTTGAAAGCCTTCATAATTGGGGGTGGCTTGGTCCTCTTTCAGCAGGTGCATCCTTCTTGTTGCTATTCCAAGGCTATATTTGGAAAAAAATTCAGAAATTTGTGAAATTCATCTACAAATCTATATTTAGTTGAACTATAAGAGGATATGAATTTTATTACGAGATAATAAAAATTGATTTTATATAAATTTCACTTAGATTTGAACTACAGTATTAAAAAAATTCATCAATATCAATATTTTTTAATACAGTGTTCTACCTCATAAAATTTTATGCAAAATCAGTTCTTATTATTCTGGGAAGTATTTTTGCTATTTTTTAGTCAAAATAAGCCTATGTGTTCTTAGTTTCAACAGATTTTTTAGGTTATATGCTGAAAGAAAACCCTAAAGCTTCACAAAAAGGAAAAGATAACGAGAAAATCTAGAAGAAGAATATAAAGACTTCCATGTCACTGGACTGACTCTCTTCCTGATTGTGACAGATAACTGGACAACCAAGTGTTCTGTATTATGCAGGTCCAATTCTTCAGGTAGATAAATAATTAAAGCCAAGCAATTTGTGCCACAAAATGCAAGGAACTAACTTATATTAGGTTGGTTATTGCTATGCATTCTAAATGACGTGACTCAAGAGTGCTGGATTCTCTGCGGCTGCTGATGCCACTCGAGTCTCCGTCCTAATAGGGCTCTTCAAGGTGCCACTCGGAATCTTATCATGAAGATTTTTATATTTTCGAAGAAGGCTTATTCATTTTATGAGAACTTAGTTCTGCTCTTAATTAACTTTTGTTTCTAACTAATGCTCTCGTAGTTAGTGATGACATGGATAGCTGTTATAAAAGTTGATGATCTTGGAAGAAGACCGCTGTTGATTGGAGGTGTCAGTGGAATTGTACGTGCTATACTCTTCTTAGATGTGTTTTACTTTTATCTGTTTATTTTGAAGGTTAGTTTCCTGCATCATAACTTGGTGAAAAAGATTGTAGGAGCTTTACAATTCTGTGTTTGGATCTATAAAATTGCAGGCTTTTTCCTTACTTCTACTGTCTGGTTACTACAAAATTCTTGGCGGATTTCCTCTTGTTGCAGTTGCTGCTCTTCTTTTCTATGTCGGTTCCTATCAGGTTTGTGCTTATTATTGGTGTTGGTTGTTCTGATCTCTCGATGTTTGGCTAGGATAAACAATTGAGAACCTTGCACCAATTATGGATGTGAAAAGATAAACCTCGATACATGCTTCTAATATTTATTTTTCCAAAAAAGAAGGGAAAGGAAGCATAGCACACTAAATTGACATGTTTTCTTTATGAGATCAAGGTTGATTCTCATTGGTCTTTTATTTTTTATTGGTGTCTCCTCTTTAATTGGAGTTCCAGATATCATTTGGACCTATCAGTTGGCTAATGGTATCAGAAATTTTCCCACTTCGTACACGAGGGAAAGGGATTAGTCTTGCAGTTCTTACTAACTTCGGTTCAAATGCTATTGTGACCTTTGCATTCTCACCCTTGAAGGTAATTCATTCACTTCCCGTCTCTCCATTTTTCAATTTTCATGGTTAGTTTTGACATTGCTGAATGATCCTGCCAATAATGTTGCAGGAATTGCTAGGAGCAGATAACCTTTTCCTCCTTTTTGGGGCTATTGCTTTGCTCTCACTCTTGTTTGTAGTCCTCGTTGTACCAGAAACTAAAGGCTTGAGCTTGGAAGAGATTGAATCCAAAATCCTAAAATGAAGGATTTGAAAAAAAGTTCGTCATTGAAACTCAAGCACAATTCCACTACCTTAGACTTTAATCACTACTTTTTAGCCAACTTGTATCTATGCATGGTTCTGAATCTATTTGTGAAGTTACCTTGGGTGTTTTTGTATTGTTCAAGAAACTGTTTTCTTACCAAGCCTTGTGGTTTATGTGGTAGCTACTTGTTAATTTCAACCTTGAGCTCACCTGCTTTGGGTGTTGAAGGTTAATAAGAGTAGAATTGAGGCAACCAGAAGCATGCAAAATTCAAGCAACATTTTCACCAAATTTATGTATAAAAAAAAAAAAATATTCACCCTATTTTATCGGTGATGAAATGTGCTTCAAATAAAATTTTTAAAAATTATATTATATTTTAATTTTTAAATTTGATCACACATTGCGATTATATAATTGTCATATTCATAAAAAAAATATACGATGATTAAAATTAAACACTATTAATAATTTAAGTTTAAAATTTTAAAAAACTAATAATTTAAATTTTAAAAATTATTAGATCAATAATTTTGAAGAATTGAGTGTTACAGATGATATAAAGTTGAGTTTTATATATTTTAATTATGAATATTATGATAATTATATAAAATATTAAAATTTAATATTATACAAGAAAAATTACTCGATTTATAAAAGATATCTAATTTAACAATATTTTTATTCCTATAAAAATTTAATAATTACATCATAAATAAGGACTCAATTTTTTTTTTTTGAGAAAAAAAAAAAAAAAACAAGATAATTCATACTTACTTTTAGTGGTGAAGAATTGAGCTAAAACCCTAACCTCAACTGTCACCCACACCTCCCAAAAGTAGAATAGACACTCCAACTCTTTTGTCACTTAACAAAGCCAATGGTCCTCTCACAGACAGACACGTGGCACTCAGATAAACCCAATTGTGTGGCAGTTGACATTCCATGAAACCAAGCCACAGGTTCTTCACCACTCTCCACGCTCAAATTCTTTCGCTGGCCTCGCTCAGCACCCATCCTCCACTGCTCTCCAGACACCACCCTCGCTTTCCTCTGCTGCTTAAGCCGCCAAAGAACTGTTCGGCCATGGCCGCCACAGTTTCAACCATTGGTCCTGTCAACAGAACACCGGTACTTTTAACTTACCCAACTTTCCCGCCAATTCTTTTCAACGTGTATAAAAATTTTGGTGTTTGTTTCTCGGGAAAATTTTGTGAATCTGCTTCTATCTTTGGAGCTGTTCCTTTCCCTTTTCTTGTTAGTAGTGTTGAATGATATTCATTCGAAGACATTCTTAAATGGGTGTGCATGCTTTTAAGTTTCACAACTGTCGCCTGCTACAACTATTATCTTGTAGTCTACTTGAATCAATTATATATTAGCAAAGAAATCCAAAGGAAAAAAAGTAAAAAGAGAGAAACTTTATGATCAAGGTGGTGGAGTAATCTAGAGAATTCAATCCAGATTCACTGTAATTCTTCCTTTTCTTTTTGCTCCTTGTCTTCTTATATGGGGCCTATTTGAAAGTTTCTCTCTTTCAAGATAAGCAATGATATCTTTATATTGTGAATGATATATACATACACATATATACACGGATACAAAGACCCATTTGGTATTGCTGTTGTACTAAAGCTGAGTGTGTATATATCCGATGCAGTTGAGCTTGAACAGTTCTGGTTCAGGGGGATCAGTCCCGGCCTCAGCCTTCTTTGGGAGCAGCTTGAAGAAGGTGAACTCCAGAGTAACATACCCTAGACTTACATCTGGAAGCTTCAAGATTGTTGCTTCTGAGCCTGAAACTGATGAGGAGAAGCAGACAGACAAAGACAGATGGAAGGGTCTGGCATATGATATCTCTGATGACCAACAGGACATCACCAGAGGAAAGGGAATGGTTGATTCTCTCTTCCAAGCGCCCATGTATTCTGGTACCCACTACGCAGTCATGAGCTCATACGAGTACCTCAGTCAAGGACTTCGCCAGTGAGTGAAAATTTACCAGTTTTCTTTGAGTTCTGAAACTGTTTAATGAAATTTCTGGGTCAATTTTGTACTTAAATTAATGGTACTTTCTTTTTTCAGGTACGATTTCGATAACACCAAGGATGGGTACTACATAGCTCCTGCTTTCATGGACAAGCTTGTGGTTCATATCACCAAGAACTTCATGTCACTCCCTAACATCAAGGTAAGTGACTTAATTTGACACGAAATTAAAACTAAAGTAGGGAGTTAGTGATTAATTTTGATGGTGGTTTCTTGAATTTGCATCAGGTTCCTCTTATTTTGGGTATCTGGGGAGGCAAAGGTCAGGGTAAATCTTTCCAGTGTGAACTTGTCTTTGCCAAGATGGGAATCAAGTAAGTTCATGATCCAGCTTTTTGACACGAGTTTGAATTTAGAATTTGATGAGGTTTTACATCGAAAAAGTAGGAAGTTATGGATATTTATGTATACATTTCTTGGACTGTATGTGACTGGATATATGTTGTCTTGTATGTATACTTATAACATTAATGAAATTTCAGCCCCATCATGATGAGCGCTGGAGAATTGGAAAGTGGAAATGCAGGAGAGCCAGCAAAATTGATCAGACAAAGGTACCGCGAGGCAGCTGACATCATCGCCAAGGGCAAAATGTGCTGCCTCTTCATCAATGATCTTGATGCAGGTGCTGGTAGGCTTGGTGGTACTACTCAATACACTGTCAACAACCAGATGGTCAATGCAACACTCATGAACATTGCTGATAACCCAACAAATGTTCAGCTTCCGGGTATGTACAACAAGCAGGAAAATGCCCGGGTTCCCATTATAGTCACTGGTAACGATTTCTCAACACTGTATGCTCCTCTCATTCGTGATGGGCGTATGGAGAAATTCTACTGGGCTCCCACTCGTGAAGACCGGATTGGTGTTTGCACTGGTATATTCAGGAGTGACAATGTCCCAACAGAAGACATTGTCAAGCTCGTTGACACCTTCCCTGGCCAGTCTATCGGTAAGAATGTCAACTTGCACTTTCAAAAAAATGGTAACTAACATCGCTTGCAGTTCAATTAATTCAAAGATGACCCAAAATCTCAGAACTGAGAAAGAATTATCTGCTATCATTTATAAGAAATTTAAGGGTTTTGCATATAGTACTCCAGTTAGCTACCATATTATATATCTACAATAATGTGATTTATAGTCTGAATGGTTAATCAATTTTGTAGACTTCTTTGGTGCACTAAGGGCTCGAGTTTACGATGATGAGGTGAGGAAGTGGATATCTGGTGTTGGAGTTGAGGGCATTGGCAAGAGGCTTGTCAACTCGAAGGAGGGTCCCCCAACCTTCGAGCAGCCAAAGATGACTATTGAAAAGCTCCTTGAATATGGAAACATGCTTGTCCAGGAGCAAGAGAATGTGAAGAGAGTTCAATTGGCTGACAAGTACTTGAATGAGGCAGCTCTTGGAGATGCAAACGCAGATGCTATGAGGACCGGAAACTTCTATGGTTAGTGTCCCTAAATCCTGCAAAACTCTACTTTTTAGTTTCTCAGAGATGGAAAGCTTCTCTGCTGACACTGTAATTATTGGATTGGATGCAGGCAACGCAGCTCAGCAAGTTAACATACCTGTTCCTGAAGGTTGCACCGATCCACTTGCCGCAAACTTTGACCCAACAGCAAGAAGTGACAATGGAAGTTGCCAGTATTCTTGAACCTAAGTCATTTTCAGCCTTTTATGTACTTGGCTTGTAAGTGAATTCTAAGACTAGAAAGAAATCATGATGTTGCTGCCTTTCTATTAATAAGATTGCTCTTAAATTTTGTTGTAATATAAATTTTTTATCTGCTTTTTCCTCTCCCCCGTATTGACTGACGTCTTTCCAGCTGCCAGTTGCTGAAGTAGATTGTCTGTGACGGTAATTTATGACTCAAGTTTAGAGTTAACATGGATTGAAAATAGCTAGTAAATCTGCTTGTTTTCGCAACTAACTCGCCGGCAATGAACTCATGATTATTATTTCAGAACATAAAGAAGTTAACATGCAGAAAATCATGGGTAAAGAGATTAGTGTTTTGTTCTATAGCCGTATCTTACTAATTTGACAGTATTTGAGATGCTTGAAATCGGTCAAATGCAGCATTGCTTGATTCTTACTTTTGCTCTTAAGTGCTTATATATGTGCGAGGGCACAGTTAGAAGCTCTAAAGGCTTAACATGTGCATGAATAGCGAGTGACTTCTTATCTGTTTAAAGAAATTAACGTGAAAGAAAATGTAATTTTGAAATTATAGGTTTTTCTCTATTAGCAACAAAAATGAATAGTCCTTTTCTTCAGTAATCAATAATTTCATTTTATCGATTGTATATATGTAGCTATTGTAGCACTGATGAAGATTCAGTCCTTTCTGGATTTCAGCAAACAATCACATATATTGACTAATATGCTAAAGAGTTTAAGTAGAATAGGACTATTATCAGTCAAAAAATTCAGTCCTTTTCCAGCACTCAATAATCCACTCAACCAAACTGAGATCTTCTGGCCGCGTTTGTGCCTCTATTGACTTTTTTCGCAAGCTACCTCAAGCATTAAAACTCCAAAAGCAAACATATCCATACTCTTTGTTGCCTTTCCAGTTCTTGTAAGCTCCAATGCTAGATAGCCTGTGGTTCCAGCCAGGTGCATGGTTTACGGATTGGTTTCATAGTTATATAATCTAGCTAGGCCAAAATCTCCTAGCCACCCATTGAGATCTGTGTCTAACAGAACATTGCTAGCTTTTACATTTCTGTGCAGCACAATTTGCTCCCATTCTTCATGGAGGTAGAGAGCTGATGCCACTCCTTGGATGATATGAAATCATTGAGGCCAATCAAGATTTGGTTTCTTGTTCCTGAATAAAAGCTAGTCAAGATATACCAAAAGAAGCTCGTCCTTCCGCCTGCAATACCCTAGAAGCTTCACCAACTTCCTATGCCTTAGCCTTCCCATGCTTATGATCTCAGCTGCAAACTCTTTCATTCCTTGTTTTGAACTGAGGGAGATTCTCGACTGCAATTTCTACACCAGAAGCAGTTTTTCCTCTGTATATTTTTCCGATACCTCTTGCTCCAAGAAGCTCTTTCTCTTGGAAACCTTTTGGTGGCTTTATATAGATTCTTGTAGGTGAATCTTTGATGACCATAGTGTCTTTCCTATTCTTCGTTTATCTCTTCCTTTTTTTTCTTTCTTCACCAGCAGTCATTATCAACAAAGCTACTGCTAAAACAATGAAGCTAGTAACAAATGCATCCGATGGGCAATAGATTAGAAAAATAACGAGAAATTCTCAATATCTGAACCAATATGATTTTTAGAAGTTTGTAAGGAAAATTTTATAATTGATAGAAAATAACTGATTTATTTTATACACATTCTAAAGAACTTTTGAAAGAAAATATAAATGTGTACAATATGGCAGGTTCAAAATCATAGGATGTTGAAATTTTGGCTTTAAATTATGACATAGAAAAACATCAAAGACTTGCAAAGGCTTTGCACATATTACTTGGAGCTCCAGTATGTTCAGGGTTGGGATCTTCATCTTCATCTTCGTAGTCTTCTAATCTTACGCCCCATGAGGGCGTGGCGTTATCTTCGCTGTGCTTTTTTTTTAAAGCTAAGTACATGTCGTAGTTTTGTTGCCTTCTCTTTCACTTTGGTAAGCACTGATTTCTTTTGAGGGTGGCAAGAAGGATCTTCATCCACCTCGTCCTCCCTTCTTAATGTAGGCAACATGGTTAGTGACAAATCTGTTGTTTCTCCTGTTGCACCTAATAAATAACGAGAATCATTAGTTAGAAATAGTTAATCAATTTGATTAAGCTAATTGTTCGAGTATGACTAATGCATTAATTTCTTCACTCTTGGAATATTATTACTTACAAAGATCGAAACTAAACAATTGAGATAAGAAACATAACTTCTTTTCAACTGTTACATTTATGAAAGTTTAATTTGATTTTTCTTTTTCAGTATTATATATAATTCACGAAAAAAAATTGTAATTCAAGTTTAATTCGATTTAAATAAGAAATAAAAACAAAAAATATTAAATTTAAATTGAGACTTGAATTTGGTTTGATTTACCTCGGAGAAGTTGATCGACACTCGGGATGGTAGGAGTTCTGGCATTGTCTCCATGTTTGTTGGTGGGATCAAGTTGAGCCATGGATGGCTCCTCCAGGGAGGGTGTGACCAAAATTACTACTTAATTTCCTCAAGAAAATCTCCCAAAATTTGTCTACCCTTTTTGTATCTCTTTCAGAGCAGAGAGAAATTTAAGGTAAAGCAAGCAAAATTCAAGGATTGATTTCAGAGATTCTTGCACCAAATCAAATGTAAGCCATATGTTAAATATAACAATCTTATTATAATCAAAGGTAATAATAATTTCATTTGCCATGAACAGAAGAAAAAAAAAAGACTTATCTCCTGAAATGCCAATTCGGCTGAGTGTTAATTTTGAACTAAGTAGAGGAATAATTTTAGCCGCAGTGTGATGCTCTTACCGGTCATTGATTTTTTTCTTCCTTCCCATTTTCCTTGAGGCAGAGCTTTTTTAAAAAAATCAATTTCTGCGCATTACAAATAAGTTTATATTAATTTTTTATTTTAAAATTTAAGTCGATAATAATATCTAAAATTTTATCTTAATATAATATATATGTAACACAATATCTTTATTTTCTAATTCAAAAAATAAGTGCTATATGTATATAAATTTTTTAATTATGGCTCAGATCGTGGGCCGAGCTCGGACCATGCATGGGCCTTAATGGGCCCTTTTGGGCTTATTTAGTTTGGTCCAACCCGATTTGTTCAGATGACAGGGTCGGAGCGGGCATGGCAGTTGGCACTGAAGTCGGCCGGCCAGATTGTACATCTACAACAGATTATTAAGGAAAAAATTTATCTCTCGCTGAATCTGAATCTGAATCGGCCGACGTATCCTGGCTCCGTATTTCTTCGTTGCCGACGCCGTTACTCCGGGCGAGCTATCAAGACTCCAGCAGCTAACTTCTTGGTAAAATCTCATTTATCTACTTTTTCTTTGGATAAACAAAGATTTTTCTCTTTCTCCGTAATTGACAGATAGAGGTTCTTTAAGCCTAGAAATTCGCTGTTGAAATAAAAGTCTCTGTCTGGAGTTTGGAATTGGGAATTTATATGTATGTCCTTTTAGGTTTTACGGAGTTAGTCATTTTCTTTGTAATTTTTATTCGTTGTATTTGGGGCATATGAGCATTAATTTACTGTATGTTTATACGCCAAATTTATAAGCAGGAAGTGAATCTTCCTTCTGCAAATATATAATTCTGAACGGTTGGAGCATACAAAACGCGTTCTGCTTCTGCTTTTTCTTGTCAAAAAATTGCAGATTGTGCCTAAAAGTTTATACCTTGCAATAAACTTCCTTTTTTTTTTCTCTAAATTATCACAGGCTATTGTTGCATCATTATATCACAATCATCTGCAATTTAAACAGAATAATGGTAAAGATTCATCCCTTCGGTCAACTCTGTAAACATAATTCTTCTTTATACATACAAATTTCTGGAGATGCAAAAAAGAAAAAAGAAACAGGTTACTGGTGATAAAATTGTAGCTAAACAAAAATCTATATGTCATAAATTTTTCTTTCTAGATTATTTATGTGTGTTAGTAGACCTTATCCAACTGCATTATTTCCATTTCCAGAAAGCATATTTCTTCATTAGCAGTCAGTTTCTTGTTTCAATTAGCTTGGAGTTTTCTTACGCAATTCTTTGTCTCCATCAACAGCTCCAACTGCCCCCCCCCAAAAAAAATAAATTGGGAGATCAATCAATAGAACGAACCTTGTTAAGATGTGATCCGTTTTAGAAGGAACAAACTTTGGCTTGGTTTGATCAAGACTTAAATTGAGAATGGCCTGGCCCAAACTTCATTTTTCCGACTACTTTTCAAGCCTAAATTACTGTCCCTTAATTTTTCAAGTAAATATTTTTCAGTGGGGGGTGAATTACACTTTTAGAAGCAATTATCAATCCCATTCTAAGCAATTCACTGTGGCTAGAATATCAAACATATGCCCATACTTGTCAATGTCAGTAAAACTTGGAATATTGGTAGAAATTTATATATTACTTGAGGGTCAGGTCACGGCTGTCTGCATAGCAGTAGAGGTTTCGACTCAGCAGTTCCAACCATAGAAATTGTAGCCTCTTTAATCTTTCCACCACACCACCATATCCAGGACTTCTGGCCTGTGGTATCACCTAACAGAACTCTTCATCTTTCCCTGGCTCAACTTTCTGTATTATACACTCCTTAACCGAACGTCTGAAGTACCTTTATTCCATTTTTACACCCAAGAATTAACTTATTAGTTTCTGGAGGAGCAGAAATCATCTGTAAAAGATTGCTTTATATTAAGAGCTGGAGCAGAATGCTTGTCGAGGAGAAGTATAGCTGACAGATTCTTGGCTTCTGAAAGCTGGCTTTCAGGCTTCTCCAGCTGGCTGAGCTGGGACTGCGAGGCCGGGAATCTTTTAAGTGATTGCATGTGTTATTTGAGATACTTTGACATACGTCAATACCAGCTTCTTGGTAACTGTCTCGTCACTTCTTCCTAGGACAAGGCTTCTTCTCTCTGTCTTTCTCTTTTCTCCTTGTATGCTCTCTCTTTTCCTCTTCAAGCACACATCTGTCAGGGATGGGCAAGACATGGTTTTTGGAGATTACAGGCATGCTCTTGGTTGCTGCCTTGCATTTTTCCTTCGCACTTCAGGTGCCACCTCTACACTTCAGGTGCCATCTCTAATTCAACACTGAAACATAAAATAAAAGCACCCAGTTGGTTAGGAATTCATGCAAAAAATAAAAGCTGATAGCCTTAAGAGGTTTAGCTTTTTAGAATGGAAACGTTATTCTCTTTCTGTTGATATGTCTTTCTATCATTTTGACTTCATATGAATTTAGAAGCTTGGATCTCTTTTATGTACCACAAGAGTCTCTTCAAAAGAGAGCTAGGATAATTTTTTTTTTGAAATATGAATTGTGTCGAATATTGATAAGGCACCGGAGAGGTGCCGCCCATTTACAGGATTTACAAGTCTAAAAAGAGAACTAGGATAATCTCTGCAGGACAGAAATAAATCCCAATCTGGAGATTTGAAGCAGGGACGAGGAATTTGTTGTCCTTGGATTCAGGACTGAGAATGTAATCGCTGTTCTAAATCCATCTTGCTGCCATTACTATTGTATCCACATATATATTTTTTGTGGAAAGATGGTGGAAAACTTTTGCATATTTTTTTCATCCACTTAATTAATCATTCAAACAAGTTACATGTATGGTAAAGTTTATTTCTATAAGTTTTGGTTATAAATATGCAAAAAGCGTGCATTAACAATTATTGCATTGATGTTTATTCTAATTGTATATATTATATTCAAAATATATATGATTTGAGATATCGGAGTAAACTGAATACGTGTTTAAATATTATAAGTTTTTTTCTCTTTCCGTTTTTCTTGCAATGCAGAATAACTAGAAAACTTTGCCAAACACAACAACCTCCGGTTTTGCTGTCAACTGCCAAATCTGGAAAGGAAAGGAGACAAAGAACAAGTTAAGAGATGGTGAGGGGGCTGCAAAAATGGCAAAATCTATCTGCCATTGGCCTGAAAGTCCGCAAGGATGTTGTTTTTAACCTATGTCTCTTACATAATGGACCGGACACCATAGAGGAGCTACTGGATAGACACGTTATCAAAAAAGAGAAATCATTGGATGATGAAGAGGAAGAATTGCTGATTCAGCGCCGATTAACCAGCACTCGACGAGAGGCATTGAGTCTTTATCGAGACATTATTCGGGCTAGCCGGTTCTTCATGTGGACTGATACTCGGGGCATATTGTGGAGAGACATCTTGAGAGAGAATGCGAGGAAGGAGTTTGAGGATGCACGATTTGAGACAGATCCAGAAATCATTACCCGGTTGCTCATTGGTGGGCGTGATGCAGTACAATCAGCTCTCGAGAATCTCGCCGAAAAGCAGAGGCAACAGATTGAGAAGCAACGAAGTGGTGGGGACCAACTGTAGTGCAATCCATAAATCAAGGTAATTATGGTCCTCATCTGAAAATTGACTTACATTTGTTTTTATTTTTATTTTTATTTAAAAATAATAATAATTGAAGAAAGCATTAGCCTCTTTTAAATCATATATAGTAGGATAAACTTAGATTGAAGGAAGGGGTTTCATTTGCAGAATTGAATTGGTAAAAGTACATTTCCATATATTCATATTGTATTAATTTGCCATTCTCTTTCAGGTTTAAAGAGAAGTAGCTCAAGCAGTACTTGTGGAAACTAATAGTGGTTTTTATCATAACACACCTATCATTGTGAAACCATGTAGTACAAAATTTGGGACAACAGTAACTTCTCTAATGAGGCAAAGTTGAAGTCTGAACATTGTTAGATAGTTTTTGGCTAGATCCTCCATAAACTCGGCTGGGTGCTATTAATTTAATTGATAAGATCAAGAGGAAAAGGAGTTGGAAGCGATGGATGCTGTTATCCCACATCCTGACTTGCTTTTCCTATTTTAAATCGCGCAATGCTCAAAACATACTTGTATTGGTAAAGCTCAACACTTTCCCTCGAAGGATTTGTAAACATCCATGCAAATATGAGTATTGTCGTCAGTTATTTTTGTTGCCTAAACCAAAAGATAAATCGGTTTGATAAGTTAACGTATGTAGCCTCTGGTTGTGAAATAATAGTACAAAACTTTCACATGATCATTTCAACTACTTAATTTAATGAAACATTTGTTAATTTTTAATGTAATTAAATTTTTAGATGTTTTATTATGAATTCTATTCAAAATTTCAGGTGATGGAATATGGTTCTGAATTTTTTTTTCTTCCACCAACTGTTTTCCTTTCCTTTTCCTCATATACCATATATTTTCCAGATACTACTCCCGAAGGATATGTAAGGTAGTTTACCTTTTGTCTATTTTTGTTGTAGAATTCTCTTCAAGGTATTCTCATGGGATTTTCTATATTCACTCGGGAGATGTCTTTTTTGTATCTATGTGATAGTTAATCAGTTTGACATTGGAACTGTGACTAATACTAAAGCTCCAACACTAGTGTACATATGTTTTTTTTTTTAAAATAAACACTAATGTACATGTGTAAATCGCATTCTTAAGAGAAACATATGGAAGCTGAACTGTAGGATTCTTCTCTGAATAAACACTGATGAACGTGGCACACTGATGGACCAGTCATTCCTGAACGCAGCCAATCCAGCATATCTGACATTGCATATTCTAGGATTCAGTATAATGCAGAATTCAAGCTACTGCTAAAGCAGACAAGACGGGCCGTGTTTTGTCGAATGCAGAGCATGTTTGTAGAACCTACTTTTCCCTCTTCACCCTAATCAGCTATCATTCTTGAGCGTCAAAGAAAAGATCAGTCATTGAAGGTTCAAAATTTTGATCTACTGGTTAGAAAGACGGTTTAAGATCAATGATATTCATTTTGCAGAGGCAGGACTGACTGACTGACCAGTCACTTCCATAACCAAAAAAGCAGAACTCGTTCAATATTTTATTAACTCAGATCCAACTATAACCGGGCTGCTTTTTCAATCCTCTATCAATCATCAGCTTCTGTACTCCAGCTGCTTCATCCCAATCACCCTCAGTTGTGAGCAATTTTGATAACAGTACATAGGTTGCAGGATCTTCCGGCCATCTATCAAGAAGCTTTGGTGCATTGCGGGTGGCAATATCTTTATTTCCATGAACTCGACAAGCACTTAGCAGGGCTTTGTAGACTGAAGGTCCCGGCTCTATCTTCATACTATTAACAAAGGCCTCTGCCTCACGAAGGCAACCTGCTCGACCAAGCAGATCGACAATAGCAGCATAATGCTCCATTTGTGGTTCAAACAGTGCATCCTTTCTCATCAAATCAAAATACTCGAGTCCTTTTTCCAGCAAGCCACCATGGCTACAAGCAGTTAACACAGCTAAGAATGTGGTGCCATCAGGTTTTACCTTTGTCCTTCTCATTTGCTCCATAAACTCTACAGCCTCCCTTGCATACCCATGAAGAGCACATGCTGACAGCAGTGAGTTCCAAGACACCACATCATGTTTTGTGATAGATGAGAACACTACCTTTGCATCATCAATAACACCACATCTTGCATACACTGAAACAAGTCCATTTTGCACGAATATGTTGGAAGCATCACCAGTTTTCACAACAAGGGCATGCACTTGCTTCCCTTCAACAAGAGCTGAAATCATTCCTATTGCTCCCAGTACACTTGTGAAGGTGAAGAAGTCCATATCAATACCAGTTTGCCTCATTTCACAGAAGCATCTGAGAGTTTCTTCACCCTCTCCTAAATTGACGAAACCCGCAATAACTGCATTATATGAGATCTGGTCATGGCATCTAATACCCGAGCATACTTTCTGAAAATCCTCCAAACTTTTGCTGCACTTGGAGTAGACTGAAACAAGAGATACTGCAATATACGCATTAGATTCTAGTCCTTCCTGAATTATGTGACACTGAACTTGCTTGCAATGATCCAAATCTTCTGGACTAGAACACGAACTCAACAAACTGTTATATGTTACATAGTTGGATTTGAGTCCCAAGCGCAACATCTCTCTTACCAAAATCATTGCCTCCTCAGCATGCCCATTCTGTGCATACCCACTAACCATGGAGGTATAGGTAATAACATTCTTGTTACGAATTTGATGGAAAACCCGCCTCGAATCCTCAATATTACAACACTTAGAGTACATATCAACCAAAGCAGTGCCAACAACAACATTATAACCAAACCCAGCTTTCCAGCTTAGACCATGAACCTGTTCCCCAAGCTCCCCTGCTTCTAACTGAGAGCAACCAACCAGAGCAGCCGAAATGCTGAACGGAGTTGGCGCAACACCCGCTCTCAACATTTCACCAAACAATTCAATCGCATCTTCTGCGGAATTAACATTCAAGTATCCAGAAATCAACGAGTTCCAAGTAACTACGTTTCTGTTGGGCATTCCATCGAACAGTTTCTGGGCACTTGAGATCGCGCCACATTTTCCATACAGATTCAGGAGAGCACTGTGTATATAGACATTTGTGCAGAAACCCATCTTGATAACGGTCGAGTGAAGTTGAATACCCACATCAAAATCAACCGACTTTGCACAGAAAGATATGATTTTGTTGAGCAAGTAAGGTTTGAACCCATCGCGCTGAAACTGAACAAGACTCCACAAATCAATTGGATTTGATGGTGGGTTCTCAGAGCGAGCGAAGAAATCAAAACATTCATGGTGGGTGCTTGTTGAGAAAGAGCAGGAAGGGAGCTGAAATTTGACGAATCGTAGCCTAGGAACAGGGCAACTCAAACTCATTGTACCTCCATCTTCTCCTTTGCTTCGGTAAGTAACAGTTCGTAAGTACTGTTTAAGTTTGTTTTTTATTATATTAGTAGGAAATCATAGAAAAATAAAATAAAGTTGGTTTTTGGGGACAACTAATTTTATATAAAATTGACTTAAATATTTATGAATTAAATTCATGGAGAATGCAAGTAATTATAATAAAGAAAAAGATGAAAACAATTAAAAGATTATTTAAATTATCTATCCAATAATGTTTTTGTATTTATTAAATTGGAGTTATTAATTATTGAAATTATGTATTCAATAATTAAAATATAATTATTAATTTTCAAACAATAGTAATAATTAAATATCAATAAGTGAATATCTTTTTCCGTTGAAACGGGTCAATTGACACCCGAAAACCCACCCAAACCCGAACAGTGGCTGGAGCTTGGCGTCCTTCACTGGTTCCTATCATTGAAGATCTCGCCCAATCTCCATCAGTTCTTAAACCCCAGTAAACATATCTGTTACAGAAACCCTCTTTCCCTCTCTCCTTTCTCTTATCCCAAACAGGCCAATGTCCTCCATCACCTCCTCCGGGCAGCTTCTCCCCACCACTGCAAACCTATCCTCATCTTGGCCCTCCAGAAGCAAGCTCTCCTCCTCACGCGCCGGTTCCATAAGATGTAGCAGTCTCTCCCCCCAAAACCCTAACCCCGTACCACCGCCCTCCCAAAACAATTCTCTCCACCTCCTCAAATCTATCTCCAAACCCCTCGCCATTGTCACCGCGTCATCTGCTGCCTCGCTTTTCCTCATTCTAGGAGGTATCAACAACGACAATAATGGTAATTTCTTAGGCGGTGGGGGTGGAGGTGGTGGTGGTGGTGGTAATGGTGGAGACGGTGGAAATGAGTTCTGGAGGAAGCTTTTTTCTCCGGCGGCGGCCGTGGCGGACGAGAACCAATCGCAGGAGTGGGATTCACACGGCCTGCCGGCAAACATCGTGGTCCAGCTGAACAAGCTTAGTGGGTTTAAGAAGTATAAACTTTCGGAGATTCTCTTCTTCGATAGGCGAAGGTGGACGACGGTGGGAACCGAGGATTCCTTTTTCGAGATGGTTTCTCTTCGTCCCGGCGGCGTTTATACCAAGACCCAGTTGCAGAAAGAGCTCGAAACTCTTGCCACATGCGGGATGTTCGAGAAGGTGGATATGGAAGGAAAGACGAACCCGGATGGGACACTGAACGTCACCATTTCCTTCACGGAGAGTACGTGGCAATCTGCGGACAAGTTCAGGTGCATCAATGTCGGCTTGATGCCGCAATCCAAGCCAATAGAGATGGATCCGGACATGACCGATAAGGAGAAGCTGGAATACTACAGGAGCCAGGAGAAGGATTACAAGAGGAGAATTGAGCGAGCCAGGCCGTGCCTGCTTCCCGTGGCGATCCACAGGGAGGTGCTGCAGTTGCTGGGTGACCAAGGAAAGGTGAGCGCGAGACTGTTGCAGAAGATACGTGACCGTGTCCAAAAATGGTACCACGATGAAGGGTATGCCTGCGCTCAAGTTGTGAACTTTGGGAATTTGAACACGAAAGAGGTGGTTTGTGAGGTTGTAGAAGGGGATATTACTCAGTTGGTGATACAGTTTCAGGATAAGCTTGGAAATGTGGTTGAGGGTAACACCCAGCTCCCAGTTGTGAGGAGGGAATTGCCCAAACAGGTAGGAATTGTAACTGTATTTCGCAGCTTTTTTTTGGTTTTATGTGAAGCTAAGATCTATTTATAATTTAAATCGCTTCCTTTGGAAATTATCCTTTAATCTAGTCTACGAACCTGTAAAATGCTTCATTTTAGATTCAATTCCTAGATAGATTATTTGGCTGGTCTGTCATAGAGGTCATATATTTCATAGTGGTCACGGAACAACTAATGCTTTCATTAATCTGCAAAAGCTAATGTAACCGCTGCTATATCAGAATACTTGAGTTTAATTCAAGAGTTTATCATAGGACTCACACTTAAAAAATGCAATTGAAGACCAAGTTATAGACTAGTGAGTGGTTGAGAACATCATTATATCTATTTCGCGAGGGTTTATGTTGATGCAAATGTTTGGCAGGCACACTTATTATCAATGCAGATGTTTAATACTGTATTTCCATTTGTCTCTGAAGTGCTTGTTTATGTGGTGAACCTCTGACTTGTTTTACAGCTTCGACCGGGTCATGTTTTTAACATAGAAGCAGGGAAACAAGCTCTCAGGAACATAAACTCTTTAGCTTTGTTCTCAAATATTGAAGTCAACCCACGTCCTGATGAGAAGAATGAAGGAGGGATCATTGTTGAGATTAAGCTTAAAGAACTGGAGCAAAAGTCAGCTGAAGTTAGTACAGAGTGGAGCATTGTTCCAGGGCGTGGAGGAGGCCCTACATTGGTATATATGCACATTGAATTAATCAATCTACACTTTCTGAGGATATTAGAGGAGATGCATCACTTTAGTATCAAACTTTTGATTGACTGTTCTCTTCTTCCTAATTATGTGTTATTGTTGTCCAGGCTTCAATTCAACCTGGTGGGACTGTTTCTTTTGAACATAGGAATCTTCAAGGGCTAAATAGGTCTATTCTTGGTTCAGTCACCACCAGCAACTTCTTTAACCCTCAGGTAGGTTACCTGCTCATACATATTAAGCTTTGGTGTCTAATTCTGGACATGATTCATTATTGTCAGTGATAAATGTGAAAGTTTGTACCATGAGATGTCTGTGGCAATCTTGTCTGCAGGATGATCTTGCATTTAAGCTGGAGTATGTGCATCCATATCTTGATGGTGTGTACAATCCACGTAATCGTACCTTTCGTGCGAGCTGCTTTAACAGCCGAAAACTAAGTCCAGTCTTCACTGGTGGACCAGGAGTCGATGAAGTCCCCCCTATTTGGGTTGACCGAGCTGGGGTCAAAGCTAATATTACAGAGGTAAATTGCAGTGACATTTTTTTTTGGATTAGTAGCATAAGGAAGCTTTTGGATTTTCTGAATGATGGAAATTTATGGTTGGTGTGCATTTTCAGAATTTCACCCGGCAAAGTAAATTTACTTATGGACTTGTCATGGAAGAGATAACAACCCGTGATGAAAGCAGTCATATATCTGCAAATGGTCAAAGAATGTTGCCAAGTGGTGGAATTAGTGCAGATGGACCTCCAACAACCCTCAGTGGCACTGGCATTGATCGAATGGCATTTTTACAGGCAAATATAACCCGTGATAACACCAAGTTTGTAAATGGAGCTATAGTTGGTGAGAGGAATGTTTTCCAGGTTAGTGCATCTTCTTATACTTTCATATTGTCAATTACTTTTTTATTAAAGAAAAGTGCTTTTGTTGCCACTTACTAGAATATTTCTGGTCAAAGAATTTTAGTAACTAATTCTACTGATTTCTGTTTCTTAATTTAAAAAGAAAAAAAAAAGTTGATTGCAGTTCAAAAATCTGGAACTTGTCAGATCCTTTGTATTTGAGAAGTTGATTATTCTGTTTTTCCTCCGAAGAGCTATGATCTTTATTGTGAAACCTTCTTTGAGATGTTTAGTTCTCATCATTGCATATCAACACGAAAACTTCAGGTGGATCAAGGCCTTGGAGTTGGAAGCAAGTTTCCATTCTTTAACCGACATCAGTTAACATTGACGCGATTTATCCAACTGAAGCAAGTGGAAGAAGGTGCCGGTAAACCTCCACCACCTGTTTTAGTCGTTCATGGTCACTATGGAGGTTGTGTGGGAGACCTCCCAAGTTATGATGCCTTTACACTTGGAGGCCCATATTCTGTGAGGGGCTACAACATGGGTGAGTTGGGGGCAGCGAGAAACATTCTCGAGGTAAGAATTATTAGGAGGCATTTCCTCTCTGACTTGCTCTTTGATTTGTTGTTTATGCTGTGCTTCATTTGGTAATTTATGGAGACTCACTTATATCTCTGATGATTTAAAGACAATACAAGTACTAAGCATCAAGAGATTGGAATATAATTGTGCTTAAAATTTATAACAATTTGGAAAATGAACTATATTTGATTCACTAATCGAATTGTTGATTGCAGCTTGGAGCTGAAATTAGGATTCCTGTGAAAAATACACATGTTTATGCATTTGTAGAGCATGGCAATGATCTAGGAAGTTCAAAGGATGTTAAGGGCAATCCAACAGAGGTATATAGGCGAATGGGTCATGGCTCATCATACGGTGCTGGGGTCAAACTTGGTCTAGTAAGAGCTGAGTATGCTGTTGATCACAACACTGGCACTGGTGCATTGTTCTTCCGCTTTGGAGAGAGATTTTGAGATACTATTTTTGCCAAAGAATTTTGGTCATTAGCCTTGCTGGAGGGAATTATTAGTGCTGGTCATTGGCCAATAGCATCCGGGAGATTGCTGCTAGGACTGTTCTTGGTCTTCCAAATCCTTGAGGTGCTTAGTGTTAGTTGTAAGATTCATTGAAATAGTTTTTCTTTTTCGTTTCCCCCTCTTAAATAATGTCATATCTATTCATGCTTCTATAGTAATTTCTGGTTGTGTAAGAAGTACAATGGATTTTAATCGGCGAATTTGTGTATTTGCTAGTGAAGAGAAAAATTGAAGGTGTCAACCGAAACCAAGATTTGCATTTTTGTCATTGCCGTATATTCTTAGACGTATTATTGAGCTTTTGCCCTTCCTGCTCGTGCTTAGTGTTCAATTGCATGCTGTGTGATGCTAGTTCCTATTTTGGAAACCATTTGATCAATAAGAGTAAACATACTAGCATAGCTCTCATCTGAAAATTTATGATTAACATGGTGACTTACAATTCTACCAATTCCAGCTCTGGACAACTTGTTAAAACGAATCTCAACAAATAACTTAAATCAGTTGAAAGATGATAACTTGTCATTTCTACAATCCACGAACTGCTTTTGGCACAGTTTACAACAAATATAAAATTGTAAGATAACAACAGCATTTCTACCAACTATTTTAACTCAACTGGAGTAATTGGTAATTCCCTCACCATCTGAAGTTCTTCAAAGAAGAATGTAAATTAGGCTTTTTCCCAGCCAGGGTAGTGTTCAATCCCCACAAACTCTTCGCAAGTTGTGTGGCGTTAGAGAAAGGGATAATAATCCATGTATATTCATCAAGTAATACTTTTTTGCTATTCGGGTTCTTGTTGGTGATTGAATCGCAGATTCTTGTTTATACAAACGCCTTTTTCTGCTTCTGGTTGGGATTTAACTCGGCTCTTTTTACTTTTTAACTGGTGACCTGGTTTTGCTCTGGCAAGCAAAGCTTTGGCCGTTATTGGCCAAAATACCAAATACCTAAATTGTCTTCTTCCATGTCCTATGCTGCCACGCTGCTTTGCCTATATTGCTATTATCAAAGACTCAAAAAGGGTCCGTTCCGGCCATGAATTCAATTACAAAGCTTTGTTTCAGCAACAATGGCTATTGTTCCTTCAACTACTGCGTAGTCAACGACCGGATCCAATGTCATGCATGCAACTGCCGACGGGTACTTGCTATGGTAAAACCCAGGAGGTTAAGCAACGCATATTTACTGTTTGATAAAAGTCCTGAACGGATTCCTGTTGCAAGAAATGACCTTGGGTTGAGTGAGTTTATGAGCTATCCTGAAATGGGTATAAAAGAAAATGGGGATCCTATGCCAAATGAAATTTCTGGTTGTGTAATTAAGGAAGGAAATGGATTGGACAGGCGTCTGGCTATCAATCTCTTGAGTGCTTGTAGCCATGAAGGGGGTCTTGAGGTTGGGCAGATTTATCATGCTTTCTTCTTAAAGACTGGACTTGCGGGTGATCAGTTTGTGGGGACTAGCCTTGTTGATATGTATGCCAAGTGTGGAGATATAGGTGCTGCAGTTTTGGCGTTCAAGCAAATGGCTCATGCAGATGTTGCTTCTTACAATTGCTTAATCTCAGGGTATGGAGGCCATGGGATGTTTGGCAAAGCCTTTGATTTATTCTTGGAAATGGGTGACATGGGTTTGGAACCGAATCATTACACTTATGCAATTATGCTGACAATTTGTGGAACTCTTTCAGCCACTGAAGAGGGAAAACAACTTCATGCTCATGTTGTGAAGATGCAATATTTATCTGAAGTGGTAGTGGGTAATGCGCTTTTGACAATGTACAATAAATATGGGATGATGGAAGATGCTGAGTCTTTATTTGATGGTCTTGCACATAGGAATCTTATTACATGGACAACAATTTATCAATGGGTTTTACCAGCATGGAGACTTTCTAAAGGCTTTAGGACTGTTATGCCTCATGAGAAAAGATGGTGTTGAACCAAATGAATATGCTTTCACTATTGCTCTTGCTTGTTGTGGAAGCATGAAGAACTTTTATATAAGTAGGATGTTCCATGCTTTGGTTACTAAAAGGGGAATGAATGAGAATGATTTCATATTAACTGCTCTTTTAAACATGTACTCAGGAGTTGGAGAAATGGATTACGCAAAAAGGCTGCTGAAAGTGAGAGGAAAATTACTATCTGTTGTGTCATGGAATGCACTGATATCCGGTTTTGTCCATAATCAGAAGTTTGAGGAGGCCATGGAAGCTTTCAGTGATATGGTTAAGAACAATGTAACATGTGACAAGTTCACCTATTCCATTATGCTGAAAGCTTGCTCTTCAATGCCGTCACTTGCCATCTGCAAGCAACTACATTCGCAGGTTGTGAAACTCAAGTATGAATCCGACACACATGTTGGGAGTTCATTAATAGAAGCTTACACTAATTGTGGAAGTCCCGAAGATTCTGAACAAGCTTTCAATCAAATATTAAAACCAGATGTGGTTTCATGGAATTCAATGATTAAATGTTACTCCCAAAATGGCCATCCAAGAAAAGCTATGTTTTTCTTCAGAAAGATGGTTCAAGAAGGGATCAAGCCAACTAATTCTACCTTCTTGGGAATCCTTTCTGCTTGTAGCCATTCTGGTTTAGTTCAAGAAGGCCAAGAATTCTTCAACAAAATGGTAGCAAGGTATAACATTCTGCCAGAAGAAACACACTATAGCAGCATGGTTGATCTGCTGGGGAGAGCTGGACAACTGGAAAATGCACTTGACTTCATCAAGAAGTTACCCATCAAACCTACTGCTTCGATATGGAGACCTCTCCTTGCAGCTTGTCGAAGCCATAAAAACATCCAAATTGCAGAATTTGTTGCCAAGCAGATACTTGATTTAGAACCCTACGATGCAACAGTTTATATAACCCTCTACAACATATATTCTGAAGCTGGACGACCTCTTGATGCAGAGAAGCAAAGAAAGCTGATGGTAACGAAGGAAGTCGTAAAGGAATCGGGATGCAGCTGGATAGAAGTGAACAACAAGATATACGAATTCTTTTCTCAGGACAAAACACATCCTGAAATGCAAAAACTGGATGAGAAGTTGAAGCAGATTATGAGAAATATTAAAGATGCTACTGGTGCAAATTTGTTGTTTGGTCCAGAAGAAAGCCAAGCAGAAAATGAAGAGGAGACAGTTCTGTACCATAGTGAAGGGTAAAATATTTGTGGTCTCTAATCATTATAATGATTTTGTTTTAGATGGATCATTATAATGATTTACGTGAAATTAAAAGAGTGTAAAAATTATGTAAATTTAAACATAAATAAAATACAAATTAATAAATTGTAGGATAAATTACATTTTTTTAGGAAAAATGTTAGCTGACTATTTTAGGAAAGCTTTCCAAGTGGGTCCCAAGCTTCAAATATATTAGGAAACCTTCAAAACATATTACCTGAAATATGTTACCTGCCTTTATTTTCCTATTCTAAACTGCTGCTCTCTTACCCCAATGCACTTCCTCATCAATGGCAGAAAGTTAATTCGGGTCCAGGAGACGAAACCCATCTTCCACCGTTCATTTAAATCATCACCTGATACCTACTCTAAACTCATCGAAACGTACGCTCGTGATCGAGCGTTGCACCCAGGGAGAGTACTCCACGCTGACCTGATCACCAAAGGTCTTGCTCGGAAGACCGAGGTTGCCTCCAACCTCATCTTCTTCTACACGGAGCTTGGCAGAATATCAGATGCCCAGCAACTGTTCGAGAAAATACCCAAAAGAAACATCCGACGATGGATTGTAATGATTGGCGCCTATGCTCGCCGTGGGTATTATCAAGAGGCCTTAAATATCTTCTGCGAAATGCAGAGTGAAGGTCTGAAACCCAATAGATTTGTCATCCCCAGCATTCTCAAAGCTTGTGGGCATCTTTTCTACCTCCAAACAGGTGAAAAGATTCATTCTTTGGTCTTCAAGAATTCGTTTGAATTCGATGATTTTGTGATGAGTGCATTGATTGATATGTATTCGAAATGCGATCAAGTGGAGAAGGCAAAAAGAGTGTTTGATGGATGGTTAAGCGAGTTATGTGGCACTGAACGCTTTGGTTTCAGGTTATGTACAGCATAGGCTTGTGAAAGAAGCTCTGAATTTGGTTAAAGAAATACGGTTAGAGGGAATGAAGCCTAATTTTTTTACTTGGAACACATTGATAGCAGGTTTTTCTCAAATGGGTGATCATTAAATGGTTTCCGAGCTTTTCAGATTGATGGATATTGATGATATTGAACCAGATGTAGTGTCATGGACTTCAGTTATATCTGGGTTAGTGCAGAATTTTTCAAAATGATGACGCTTTCAATGCTTTCAAACGGATGTTGAGTCACGATTTTTTGCCTAGTTCAGCTACAATTAGTAGCATTTTGCCAGCGTGTTCTACTGTGGCAAACCGTGGGCGTGGTAAGGAGATTCACGGCTATGCAGTGACGGTTGGAGCTGAAGACGACATATATGTCAGGAGTGCTCTGGTTGACATGTATGCTAAATGTGGCTTTATTTCTGAAGCGAGGATTCTGTTCTACAAGATGCCTGATAGGAACACTGTTACCTGCAACTCAATGATTTTTGGATATGCAAACCATGGATTCTGCAAGGAAGCCATTGAGCTTTTTTATCAGATGGAGAAGGAAAAGAAGCCCGATCACTTGACCTTCATGGCAGTTCTCACAGCTTGTAGTCATGCCGGACTAGTTGAGCTCGGACAAAGGTTGTTTGAGTCAATGCAAGGGAAGTATCAGATAGTGCCAAGACTAGAACACTATGCATGCATAGTGGATCTTCTCGGCCGAGCAGGCAAACTTGTTGAGGCTTATGATGTAATCAAGGCAATGCCAGTCAAGCCCAATTTGTTTGTTTGGGGAGCATTGTTGGGGGCTTGTCGGAATCATGGGAACATAGATCTTGCTGAAGTGGCTGCGAAACACTTGGCAGAGCTTGAACCTACTAGTGCAGGAAACAAGCTGCTGTTGTCAAGCTTATACGCCAATGCAGGCAGCTGGGTTGAAGTTGCAAGGCTGAAGAAGATGATGAAGCGAAGCCGGTTTATTAAATTCCCAGGGTGTAGTTGGATAGAAAGGGCATAATCCTATGGAGAGTACGTAGCAATCTGCAGACAAGTTCAGGTGAAACTAAATACAAAATTATGATTGATATAGTGGCTAACAGTTTCACCAATTCCAACTCTGGACAACTTGTTAAGATCATCTGAACAAATAATTTTATCAGTTCAAAGATGATAATTATCATTTGTACAACCTGTGGACTGCTTCTATGCAGTTACAACAAATATAACAACAGCATTTCTACCAGCTAGTTTAACACAACTTCAGAAACCAGCAATTCTTTCACCACTGAAGTTCTTCAAAGAATGGCTTTCTCAGCCGAAGTTGTCAGCAGAAATTGTTGTGCATGTATAGGTTGAGGAGGCACTGCACCCTTGGGTATCTTACAACACAGATTGAGTTCAAAGTTGCATTTCTCTACTGCAAACCTAATTCCTTTTTCAATTGCGAAAGAGCAGCCTCTATCTCATCAATATTTTCTTCGATACTGCTCTCTTTTCCCGCTTCATTCTTAATCCCACTCCCTGTTTTTTCTGCTGCAGAAAAATCATCGAAGGGATTTCTGTTCTCATCATTTGCTTCACCCTCCTGATCATTTATGTTCAGCTCTTTCTCTAGAAACTCTACGAAATCTTCGCCAATCTCCTGCCAAAGTCATTTTAGCTCATATATGAGAGATAGAAGTTTACTGATCTCTAAAATTTGAAATTGCAGTTTTACACTCTTCTACAATGAGGTCTCACCGCTAGCTCCTCCCATAGGCTCTTCGGCTTCCCATTTGAAGAAGCTGTTGCTTCCCAATTTTGGAACTCTTCTTGAAGATCTCTAAAGAAGTCCTCTGTTATAGAAAACTTTGAAGAAGTTAAGCTTAAGCACTACAAAAGCCCCATTTACTGGGTGGTCGTTGATAAATGAAGGTGCAGAAAAGGAAATCTGAGGCGATGAAAAAGGTGATCTTCTATGGCCTAATGTCTATAACAGAGAATCTACCTATCGTTATTTGAACATCCCTTAAAAAGTTACCTGCAGCAGAAAGGGGGTTAATATAAGAACAAAGAAAAAAAAAACCTAACTCCCAAGCAAATAGTAAGAAATGGAGGACAAAGATCAGAGAAATCTATGTAGGAACTAAACACAGAGAGCTTGGTTCAGTGGTTATCTCCTGGGTTTCCTGCCTCCTCATGGGAAATGTTAGGGTTGATACTTTGCCGTCTTTAAACAGCTATGCCTCTCTCTCTCTCTCTCTCTCTCTCTCTCTCTATATATATATATATATATATTAAAAAAACGAGTAAAGAAAAGAAAAAGAGGATCAGAAAAGACCATTTGAAGGAAATGCCCGACATCTATCCTCATAAGGGAAAAAAACCTACATTGCTTTGGAGACAGAAGGTCATGGTAATATTCAAACATTTCATAGTCTCAAAAAGAACAAAAAACATATAAATATGTATAATAAAATAGTAATATTGTGTAGTAATAACTGGAGATTTTTTAGTAACTGAAATGTTGCAGCTACACGAAGTTACTGAATTTCTATGAAAAACTAGAAGGTTACCTCCAAGGCATCCATCACCATTGCCAAGGTAATGCAAATGAATTTTCAAAATTCTACTAAACTACCAGGGGAAAAAGATTAGCAAACAAGGCAGCAGAACTCATGAACCAATTTTCTTACAGGGATTCCCTTCACCTGAATCATCAACCACATGACGACTTCTGAGTCAATAACATGACATAGGATCAGCTATACGATGTAACTCATTATCACAACATTGTCATCTTGGTCTAAGAGGCATGTGGTTTGACACATTTGTTTTTGTTAGGCTTGAAGGTCTTACCAAATCCGTAGAACTCTTCCTCCTCAGCAGTACTAGTGCTTCGGCTTCTTTGAGAGTAGGAAAAATCCGAAGTTTGATTTCCAGATGCATATTTTCTCCGTGATTCGGACTTCATCAATGTATTATATGCGTGTTTAATCCTCATAAATTTTTCCTGCGCATTTGCCTAGCATACCCATTTGAAACAAAATGAAAATAAAAATTACTACATAGGAAACAAGAACAGCACCAGATTTTCTGCTGCTACATGTTAGAAAGATAAATCTTAATCTTGCCGACTATTTCCTTGAAAATTTGTTCGTATCACAAAGCTAGCAGATAGTCCTTTCCTTAAAATACCCAAAAGGGATTAGACAAAACAGAAAGAATCAATAATACCTCTTTATTAACATCTGGGTGATACTTTAAGGCCAGTTTCCGATAAGCCCTTTTGATTTCGGACGGTGAAGCAGAGGGAGAAATACCGAGAACCTCATATGGAGGCTCTCCGCGACTCGCTCTCACAAGGTTACTATAACTTCTTCTTCTTCTTCTCTTCCTTCCGTGGATTCCATAAAAGGGTGCGAGCTCTTGCGGAGCGAAGGAAAGCAGGGCAGAACCATGACAGACGCTGTATCCACATTTGGGTAACGATAAATTTGCAGGCTTTTGAAAGTAAAGAAGGGATCTCGAGGAGAGACGAGAAGTAGAGAGAAAATTGTGTGGCGTTAGAGAAAGGGATAATAATCCATGCATATTCATCAAGTAACCTTGTTTTTGTTATCTGGGTTTTTGTTAGTCATTGGATCGCAGAGTCTTGTTTAGACAAATGCCCTTTTTGGCATCTGGAGGCGACTTGGCTCTTTTTACTTTTAACTCTGGCCCTGGTTTTGCACTTGGACCATTATAGGTCATAATACCAAAATACCCATATTGTCTTCTTTCATGTCCTATGCTACCATGCCGCTTAGCCTGTATTTCTATTGTCAAAGACTCAAAAGGGTCAGTTCGGCCATGAATTCAATCGCGTTGTTTCAGCAACAATAGCTATTGTTCCTTCAACTGCTGCATCGTCAACGATCAGAACCAGTGTCGTACGTGCAACTGCCAATTGCATACTTGCTTCGGCAAAACCCGGGAGGTTAAGAAACGCATATTCACTGTTTGATAGAAGTCCTGAACGGGTTTCGGTTTTAAGAAACGACCTCGGTTTGAATGCCTTTATGAGCTATCCTGAAAAAGATATTAGAGAAAATGGGGATTTCATGCCAAATGAAATTTCTGGTTGCGTAATGTAATGGGAACTAGCCTATTTATGACAAGTGTGGAGATATAGGTGCTGCAGGTTTGGTGTTAAAGAAAATGGCTCATGGAGGTGTTGCTTCTTACAATTGCTTAATCTCCTGGTGTGGAGGACATGAGATGTTTTGTCGAAGCCTTTTGATTTGTCCTTGGGGATTCGTGGCATGGGTTTGGAACCGAATAATTATGGGCATGAGATGGAAGGTGCTGAACCTCTGTTTGAATTATCTGCACAACAATTATCAATGAGTTTTACCAGCATGGAGACTTTCTGAAGGCTCTAAGACTATTCTGCCTAATGAGAGAAATGGTGTTGAACCAAATGAATATGCTTTCACTATTGCTCTTGATTGTTGTGGAAGCATGAAGAACTTTGATACCAATATGATGTTCCCTGCTTTCGTTACTAAAGAGGAATGAATCTGAGTGATTTCATATTAACTGCTGTTTTAAACATGCAGGAGTGCGCTGGTTGACATATATGCTAAATATGGTGTTATTTCTGAGCTTCTATGCTACAAGATGCCTGATAGGAATATTTTTACCTGCAATCCGGTGATTTTTGGTATGTGAACTATGGATTCTACAAGGAAGTCATCGAGCTTTTCAATCAGATGGAGGAGGGAAAGAAGATTGATTGCCTGACCTTCACTGCAGTTCTCACAGCTAGTCATGCCAGACTTGTTGAGCTCGGAGAAGGCTCTTCTGGTCAATGCAAGAAAAGTATCAAATAATACCAAGATTGGAGCACTACACGTTCGTAGTGGATTTTCACGGACGAGCAGACTCGGCCAGACTTGTCAAGGCTTACAAAAAATATTTTTGTGGATTTTCCCGGCCAAGTCAAGCCTCATTTGTTTGTTTGGGCAGCATTTTTGGTGGCTTGTTGAAATCCTGAGAACGTAGATCATGCTGAAGTGACTGTGAAGCATGTGGCAGAGCTCGAACCTACAAATGCAGGAAAGAAGCTGCAGTTGTCAAGCTTATACACCGATGCTGGCAGCTGGGTTGAGCTGCAAGGCTGAAGAAGATGATGAAGCAAAAGCCGGTTGATAAAATTCACAGCTTGTTTGATCGAAAGTGCATAATCTGTAACTTTTAGTTCACAGTAAACCTGTTGCAATTTGCAGAATCATTCATTTGGTAAATTGGAAATGGTTACTGACTTCTGTCAACCTTTTGTATTAACTTTTGATTTCTTTTGAAACAAGAAAGGTTCCACATATTCAAAAATACAAATGTTAATAACAGTTACCAATCAAATAGAAAGTCAATTGTAGCTTATGACTTTCTGTCTTTAGGACTAGAGAAACATGCGAAGGAGAAGGATTCATAAATCTCTTATGATAAGTTTGTCTTCCCTGATTCAGAGTTCAGAATTAGATTAGGGATGGGTGTGCCGACATCTCTCTCTCTCTCTCTCTCTCTCTCTCTCTGTATAGATATATATATATCCTGAAAGCTCTTACATATCCATCAACCGCAAGAGATCAAGTCACTTCCGGAAGGTAAGCTCCAGGCTCCAGCCTAGCACTCAAGCTTCTGAATCTACAGAAACACAGACTACATAAATTGAATATGTAATGAAACCATCTAGCAAAAAGTACAAAGGATAAGTAAAAATCAACTAACATCAAGGATGGAACAATATAGGAAATCTTTGAAGAAAGGCCTGTGGGGGGATTGCTTAGGAACACCTGAACCTCAAGCCTGTAGTTTAATTGTTAGTTAAACCAGAACGAACACTGACTCAAAACCAATTCAAGACAAGTAAAAAAATGTAACCAATAATCTGCATGAAAGCATGGATATGATAATGACAAATATGAACAACAAATAAATTCTCAATAAAGAAAAAGAAAAGTAGAGGCTAATAGAGGTAAGTTTACGAATTAAATTAAAGTTAAATCAATTCGAAGGGTTCATGAAGCTTCTTTAACATTTGGAAATAAAGGGTGTCTCACAAAAGTTTTTTGCTTACTGACACCAGCCCTTGATCATGCCTGAAAATCACTGAGAGGTGAAATAAATCTCAATGTAATTTTTTTTCCCAAGGAAAAAAAAGTCTCAATCTAATTTAGCCTACACTGACTGCTGCGTAGTCAGAATAGTAATAAAACAGCAGTAGCATTGTAAACCAATCCATAGACAGCTAGGCAACATGCTAGCACAAGCCTGTCTTGATGCTCAATAATAGGAATTCTCTCCAAATAGAACATCTGCTTAAAGATGAACAAGATAATATATACACAGTGAGGCACCACCTTCCGTACAGAAGGAAGCTTCAGAAAGGGCCCTACCAGGCCTTCAAGTTTATGGCCAATGCTCTTCTCAAGAAAATAAGAGAAATAATAGAGCTGAATAACTTATATGGCAAAGGCAAATACCCTATATTGTAAACATTTTTATTCTCTATTCATTGATTTCATAATACCCATTTGTAGTTATTGCTTAAAAGTGATGTGCGCAACCCCAAAAGACATGTTTACATATAGCAAGAGAAAATTCTACCCTTCTTCAAAGGCATGTGCCTGCCTAACTCAAAAATCTTTATTCTAATCAAAGGAACTGGTGCTTGTAGCAAAACCATCATACTCTTCTCCACCTTAACCAAACGAACAATAGTGGGGCATGAAGAGCAGGCTGTCACTCTATCTAGCTACGTACAACTGACCACTTTCTAATGTAAAAACTACGTATTATACTCTTAAACCAACTTATTTACAAATATAGAAATAGGCAACATGTTTAAAAGAAAAGAGTTTCAAAGGAAATATGGTTTCTATGCATACACAATGTCTACCGGACAAATATAGTGCTTCTGACCAGAGAATCAGATCAATCACCTGGCCCCCCTGGCACATGATATTTTAAGGGGTTCCATTCTGTACGAATTACTTTTTAGGTAACAGTAATTTCTTGAATCATGTTCGGCATACTAGAGCAAGCAGCAGCAGATAGCATACCAACTATCAACAAGAATTAAATAAGCTACTAAAATTATACATATTCATTGAATCGAAAATCAACTCTGAGCTACATCTAAATGAATCCAAAGTTGCTAAAAAAGGATAAAGATGTAAGAAAACAAGAAAAGCTCAATTAAGCAAAGCCAGCTTGAGAGGGGGAAAATCTCACCTATGAGTCACTCTCGTTTGGAATCAAAATAAAAATTCTAGACCTCTCTCACTGATCACTAGCGCGTCCACTGACATGAGGGTAAGACGCCATCGAGCCATACTTATTACCTGACCAATCCTTCTGTTGCAACATATACGGATTCGGCTCAAATCCACCACCTTGATTATAATGGTCATGGTAACCCATTGCTCCTTGATTACCCACCTGCATCCCCATGTGCCCGAAGACCGGCATCGGCATCATCGGCGCCCCATATGGCATTTGAATCGGCATCGGCATATGCCCACCATTTCCATGGATGCCGCCACCGCTATCGTGCAAACTCTGTGGCTGCACCGGCGTGGAAGCGAAGAGATGATCGGTGGAGGATTGGCCGTCGCTCGAGAAGCCTTGCATCCGCTTCAGATACAGCCTATACTTCTGCAGGTGAGACGCCACGTTCTCCCGAGTCAAGCCTTCAACGTTCATCAGCTGCATGATTGTCTTCGGCACCGCGTTCTTAATCCCCAGATGAGTTACTACATCCACGAACCGTTTATGCAGCTGCGGGGTCCAGACCAAACGCGGTCGTTTCAACGTCCTCGCCGCCTGATCCTCCTCCCCCGCGGTCCTCGCCGCCGAATCCGCCTCCTCCGCGGCAGAGTCTGTCCTCCTCAACTTCCTCGCATCGGATCCTCCTCCACCACAACCTGACCCGGCCTTGTCCTCTTCCTCCGCCTCCCCCACCACCTCCATGTCCCGAGTTTCCACGTAAGACTTAAAATTATTATTAGTCGAAAAGCCGTTCGTCAGGCCGGCAGCACCGTTGAACCCATTTTCACCTCCACTTCCGCCACGGAGCGTCGATATTGTACCCTGTGACTCTCGATTAACATCGACCACCGTCCGTAACGGCTCCGGCGAGATGCTGAAAGCCGAAGCAAGCTCGGGCGGAATCAACGATTGCGATAACGGCGTCAAATCATCCGCAGTCGGCAAACCCATCTCCCATTCTAGAACCCTCTCACTTTCACCGTCTCCGTCACCGTTAGCCTCGTATTCACTAATCTTCACTTCCTCTCCCATTTTATTCTCCAACTGACTAGGTTTCCTTCTTTCTCCCCTTGTTAAATTTCGTCTCCCTTTGTTTGAAAATTGAGAGCTTCAAATCGGAGTCAGAGGAGTGTCGTGAAGTGCTTTAACTGCCAGTTGTAAGACATCTGCAGGGGATTAAGGGGCGTTTGGAAGCCGAGAAACGAAGAGAAAATTTCTCGCAGCAGTTTGGTGTCAAGAAAGAAAATAGATCAGAAAAAGTGCAAATATCTGATTCCAGATCGCTCTCCTCAAGCTGCCAACGTGGACGAGTTAGCCAGATATTTTTGATCTTCTAAGTATCTCTCTTCTCCATATTGCTTTCACTTATCTTGCCTCGTGACCCCGCCATGTGTTATTTCCTAACCGCCTAACCAATCCAAATAGACCACGTGGAAGTCCCAGGCTCATTATAATAAAACTTACCGTACCTGATTAATACCCAGGTTACCAAAATAGCCTGTGTCAGTAGTTGGTGAATTGCCAAGTCAGCAAAAAGAGGTCATTTTAGTAAATTTGAGGATTTTAATTGCGGATTCCCGAATTTGCCCTCGAGGTTCCTCAATGTTGGTAGACAGCTGGCAAAAAAGGGGACGTGGCTGATTTGCGGTGACAAAAGATTTTAGATTTAGTCCACGTTATGTGCGAACCGTTGATGTTGCTTAAAAAAGTTCCGAATAATCAATCCTACGGCCGAGATTCAGAAGCCAAACACTAAAAAGGTCAAAAAGGGAAGGCCGAAACTTGTTTTGGCCAAGGTGATTGGGCAAATTTAGTAGCTAGATTTATTTTTTATTTTTTATTTATTTACTTAAATCGATATTGAATTAACTTTTTTTTAGTTTTCAAAAAATTAATTACAATAAATAATAACAAAATATTAAGGGCATGAGGTTGGTTGAGTATGAAGTTAATTAGTATTATTTCTTTATATGTATATTCCTTTTACTAAATATATTTTATATTTTATTTATTATTAAATTAATTATATTATTATTTACGTGCAAGCGTTATTTATTTATTAAATATATTTATATATATATAGCATCACTTAATCTATAAAACTCCAAGTCAACTTAAAATACTCAAATGTTAATCATAGCTTTAAGTAATTATTTTTTATATTCCAAAATTCGTGTTCTACACTAAAGTTAAAAGAGGGGGAAAAAAAAAACTAAAGAGTCATCTTACATATTTTCTATTAATATCTATAAGGATTACATATTTGGTTAAATTTTAAATTATATAAAGTACAAATATAATATATAATAATTACAATAAAAAAAAAATTAAACGAAAGTTACACTACACTAATTTTATCATCCTTTAGGATAATAAAAAATATTAAAATTATGAAAAGGAAAAATTTGCATAACAAATATATTTTAATATATATGGGCCGCGGTTGTCGAATTTATAAGCCCAGCATTCGGCCCGGCGACTTAAGCCCATCTGCAGCCGACACTCATTTTCACAACGCAGAGATAGTGAAACAGTGACAGTAAGTAGCAGAACAGCCATGGCTACTCCATCTCCATCTCTCTCCCTACTAACATTCTTCCCCTCAAAAATCTACAGGCCGAAACCCTACGTTCCACTCTACATACACAACTCATCTTCACCTCCCAACTCCCCCATCTCCTTCCTCCCCTCTCCTATCCAGAAAAAACCATTCAACTTCCGCACCCAACAAACCCTAAGAGTCTCCCATTTCTGGAGAATCAGCGCAGCTGCAGAAGATGTTTTGCCGCCAGAATCCACCGCAACACTCGAGAGTTCTCAAGAGATTGTTTCTACCACAGGCGATGATGGTGTCTCCGCGGTCATCTCAGTTCTTCTATTCGCTGCATTCGTCGCTCTCTCTATTCTTACGATAGGGGTATTAAGTTGAATTTACCCACAATTTCTATGTTTCTGAATATTTGAATTTTATCGTGTATACGAGTTATAAAGATTTACTTACAACGTGAGTTGTTGGTAAATTGGCGGTGATTTAATTGTCAGGTGATCTACATAGGAGTGACTGATTATTTGCAGAAGAGGGAGAGGGAAAAGCTTGATAAGGAAGAAGCAGAGAAGAAGAAGAAGAAGAGTGGGAAGAAAGGGAAAGTAAGAGCCAGAGCTGGACCAAGGGGATTCGGGCAGAAAGTTGATGACTTTGATGATGAATTATGATGTAATTAGACTGAAAAATCTTCCATGTTTGACCAATTTAAGCTTTTTTTATGGCTTTGTAATGTTTCGGTTTTGTTTCTGTGTTTTCTCGTTGAAGAAATCATTTTTATACATTAGTTCAATCATTGGGAGATTGGCTCTCCCTAATCTTGTTTTATTTTCTTAATTGGAGGGTATTGAATATTTTTGGGTTTTGGCAGTTGGGAGTTCAATTCTCTGTCTTTACATCACAGAATTCTAACCTCAAATATTACTTATAAAGTTCTAATCTAGAATCCCAAAAGGTAACGAACACATTTTTCCAAAAATTGTTATAATTTAAAATCGTGATCCAGCAATAGTAACAAAACTAGGCAAGGATCTTGCAACTCTTGCCTAAAAGGTATTTGATATTTGAAATGACATATATGCGTGCCATTCGGGTATTTAGATCGCGACTAAAATGATAAACGAGTTAGCAGAGAGAAGAGTGAAAGCAAATATTGCTTCGAGATGACCCTAAAAGAGGTTTTCAAGTTTTTAAGTCTAAATTTTTTTGTTTGGAGACTTAAAATCGAAAATTCTATAACAGATGTATTATTCAATCGTAAGGCATAAGACTTAGGAGACTGCTTAAGTAGTGGCCCAAGATCCTCCTTTTTTACAAACTTCGCCGCCATAAAAAATCCTTAATAGCCCACGAAGCACCCAAAAGAGAAGGAGAGCTACGTCAGAAATCATACCCACAACACCGGGTGGCAGGCATAACTCAGTTATTTTGTTAATGCATACCTACATGTATATATAGCTACTTCACTCAGAAAAGCACAGAGAAAATTCAAGTTTTTGCCTTGAAAAATAGAAAGACAAAACACGTTATGGTATTCATTGACAAAACACTACATGACAAAAATCGTCAATTACTAGAATGCAACAAACCGATCAGGAAAACACAATAGTAAATTCAAGCTTTTGCCCTTGAAGGATATAGAAATAAAAGGAACTAGGCACAAAAGTTTAACTGCCAAAAGAAAATTGTGCTCTTAAAAAGGAAAATAAGTCATTAAACATACATTAAAAAAGCTTCTGGCCTCACCTAAATATGAAAGCTCTCCACAGCAACATTTGTACAGTCGCGTTATCATATAAACTACTAACCTCGCCATTTTAATCATTTTTACACCCTTAAAAGACCTCATATAGTCATTTTGTCTCCCCCGCACAGCCATCAAACTGTATTCGACATCAGAACCTCTGCTTGCTCGATTCTATGTATAAACCCCTTAAACTACACAATGTACAGTTTGCAGTACAAGCAACAACTTTATTTCCAATCAGCTCTTACCCGTCTGAAAAAGATAGGTAGAGCCAATGCTCTAGACACGGGAAGAAAGAAAGGAAGAGGAAGCTCACACTAGCCTCAGTTAGCTGTACAACTTTCTTTCCTATGCAACCTGAGCGGGGTGTGGAGACTGAGCAGCAATTCTCCTTTCTGCAGAACAAAAATTCAGTTACTTGTCAGAAAGCTTCCATGTTTTACCAAATCCAGGATGGATATGGATTTGAGGTGAAAGACAATCCGAGATTAATCAAAAGTCAATAAATGACCCGAAGACAACTAAGGAATTTGGACGTTTGGGAATTTGGACATAACCTGTACTTTCCAATGTTTTCAATTGTGAAAAACAAATCTATAACATACAATCAAAAATTAGATTGCAAGATTTCATACCCCCAGCAGCAACAAGTTTCTCTACACGTGCAACAATATGCTTGCCATATGTGTATTTCTTCAATGCATTCAAATGAACTTTAATTCGTGAAAGGATCAGCTCTCGCTGTTGGTCGTCACAAGTTTCCAAAACTTTTTGTACAACGTAGTTTGCAAACTGATCTTTCATCATCGCCTGCATATAAAATTAGGGAAACAGAAAATAGAATTAAGTATGGGCAACCATATACCTATACATCAAAATAAAGGTTTGAAAAACTTATAACTATAATAGAGGCAAAAGAATTTAACATTTGAATCCTAACATATGGATAATTAAGTTCTATCGACTGAAACTAAAGAAGACTCCTGACAAATCAAGTTAATCCAATGAAGCCTAAATCTACTCATGGAAAAGTAATCATCTTTTAATAGAAACCACTAAGGACAATCTATTATAAGGTTTGCAATACAATATAAGTTTTTGGGATTTTTGAGGCCAAAATCAGTTGATTAGCAAACAAGATATCACAAATGGAAATTATTAGTCATCTTTTCATCCAAGGCTCACCACAGTCAATTACCATTTTTTGTCAAATACATGTACCAAAATGCTTCTAATTGCAGTTTAGTGGAACCATTCCCTTTCTCCCCTTGTAAGTATCGTAACTGACTGAGGTTCAGTACAAGGATTTAAATGCTGCTTCCAAATAAAATACCAAAAATGACTGGGGTACACCAAATTTATTTGGCAATATTTTAACCTGCTCCAATCTACATTCAGAAAAACACTAAGACCATGTTTAGAACAAATGAATTCCATAACTGTTGAAGTCATTTGCATATTCACATTTCTATCTACGCTCTAGGCACAAGATACAGATGTACAAATGAATTCCATACTTCTTAAACTTTTTAGCTCCAAACAGAGAAAATGTTGAGCTTCCAAACCAAAAGAGTGCCTTTAGTTAGAAGAACACAATAGGGAATTCTCCAGTTGGCAAAGGCAAACAAGAATTTCACAAACCTGAAGAGGCTCATTTTCATCAGTCGAGCCAAGCATCTCATTCACAAGTAACTGTCGTTCACTTGGACCACCAAAAGTTAAACACTTCTCAACAACATTAGAGGCAAACTTCTGCTGACTCATTTGGACAATCTTCCCAGCTAATTCTTTGATTATAATAGAACGCTCATGAGGCTTTCCATGCTCCAGCACATGCTGTTAAAGCAAGAAACTGGTTGAAGTCAGGGAAAAAAACCATTATATAATGATCAATAAGGAAAAAGTGGTATATAGTACCAGAAACATTTTGAATGTGCAGAAAAAGCAAGATGTCAAATAACTCAAAACAACAAAAGTCCATAATCCAGTAGGTAAGGATGGATTTTCAACTCATATAACAAGTACAGCCTGGTAGTATTGAGGAAGAAAGGTTTACAAAACCTGAACAACATAATTTCCATACTGATCCTGTGCTAGCATGCTGACGGAACCTAAGATCTCATCCATAACCTTACTCTGTGTGTTAGGGTCCTTGCAGTGTTCCAGTATCCTCTACCATAACCAAGAGTAACACAGACCAAAATTAATCATTTCCTCACCAACAAAAAGAGGCAAGTCATATTTAAATTCAAGTAGCAAACAGGTTCCAACCTGGATGACACGACACCCATATGGATGAGTGGAAAGAGTCACAACTTGATCAAAAAATGTTGAGACAATAAATTGAATATTTTCTTCTGGAACACATTCAATGCACTTCTGAATAACATGATTCCCATTCTGGTCTCGTACACAGCGCATCACATGACCATCAAGCTCTTCAACCATCTTAATTTTCTGGTCCAGATCAACTACCTCTATGGCCTGACCAATAGACAAAGCATGTAGTCAGAAGCCTTGTTTAAAAGGGATGATTTTAGCAATAAGCAAGAGCACATTGATGTCAGAACCTATATGGCCTGACCAATAGACAAACCATGTTCACATAACCATCAACATGAGCAGTCTTGTTTAAGGATGATTTTAACACTCAGCACGAGCACACTAATGGCAGGATTCGGTGATTTCAAATATCTCACTCTTGACTCATGCAACGGCAAAGAATGTTGAGATCCAAAGATGACAACAGAAAACATCAGTGGCTTTACGAAAAGCCAAGAAGACATAATAACATGAAAAGAAGTTCAAGATTGCCTTGGTACAGATGATAATAGTCCACAAAAATCAATAATACCTTCTGGATCACTCTACAACCATACATTTGAAGGCTTAGTGTCAAAACATGACCAAAAAGCTTTCCTGCCAGCTCTCTTCTCTGGGATGCGAGCCCGTGCTCAAAAAACTGCAACCAAAAACAAATTTTATGCACCTCAAATAAATCGCAGAAAAACAAAAATAAGAATACCCTATATATGCATACCTTCTGAATCACATAATTACCAAACACATCAGTCATCAAAGCAAGAGCCTGGGGCATTATTTCCTGATAGACCATGTTTTTCTCTTCTGTTGATGCTGTTTCCAGTTTCTGTTGGATAAATCGGCTACCATACTGATCCGCACTGCTCATAGAAAAGAAATAAAATGTTAACCAATTTAAATAGTTCTGTAAGGAGAGTCGTTAAGACCAATTTAAATAGTTCTGTAAGGAGAGTCATTAAGAGGGAAAAAGTACCTGAACTCGACAACATGACCAGCAATTTCTGAAAGCTCAAAACACTTGGCTTTATTGCTCTTGAACTCTTCCAGCAATGATGACGCAAATCCTTCATCCATGTTACAGCCTCCATCCAAGTGCCAGGGTCCCATGACACCGCCAGCAAGGTTCCTCATCCCAGAAGGAAAACGCATATTTAAGTCGTTGTGTCTCATAGGACTGCCAGGTCCAACTGGAGAGTTTGGAATAACAGGACTTGCCAAGGGACTTCCGGGATATGACATGCCAACACCAAAGGTTGGACTTCCATAATAACCATGATGATTAGAACTACCAGATTTACCACCTAGTGGGACTCCATATTGAGATTTCTGAGGGGACAATAGAGCCCCAAGATAAGCTTTTTGTAGTTCAAGTAAATTCATATATGAGTTACCTAAGAAGTTCCTATCCATTGAGGGATCATTCAGAGCTGCAAGCTGTGCAGCATATTCCGATGTCCTCAAGTACTGAAGGTACATTGGATCAACAAAAGGTGCCTGAAGATTGCTGCCTGACATTTGATTTCCCGCCCTACCTAGATTATGTGACTCAGCAGCCATTGATAGGTTCTGACCAGAAGCCAAACCACCTCCAAGAACTCTGGAGTCCATTCCAGCAACTCCCATAGCTGATGCTGCAGCAACATTTTCAAACAAAGGTGGAAGGTTACCAGTTCCAAGTTGGCTAGCCATCATAGAGCCTAGACCCGGATTTAAGGAATAGCCGCTTAAACCGTAATTTCCAAATGATGAATTTGGACCATCTACATGCTGATACTGAGCCGCTAAGCCCCCTCCACCGTTAAGAGTTGATGTAGGAGACCCTTTCAAGTATGAATTGCTCGAAGCAGATTTTTTCAATTCAACTTGCCTATCAGCTATCAAGGACGAGTTGCTCAAGTCGGAGCCATTGCCATTACCCTTACCTGAATCAGTGTAGGATAACTTTCCTGATTGATGACCAGAAGACATATGTAAATGTCCAGATTCAGATTTCTTCAAGAATGCATGCTGCTTAATTTGATTATGACCTCCTTGCAGACCAAACATATAATTCTGGTGGTTTTCAATATCCTGCTCAGAGTGGTTCTCTTCATCAAGCCCACCGTTGGTTGAAAAATTCATGCCAGACAAAGCAGCAACCAGATCAGAAGGCTCATTGATACCAGATGAAACACCATTAAATGAGTTTGAGCTATTAGTGCCTCTCTTATCAGTGTTACCAACTCTCCCACCTCCAATGGGTGTCAGACAAGGACTCGGAGCTCTAGCAACAAGCTGAGCATCAGGAGTGTTACTTCTAGACAAGGAAGCGCCAAGAGCAGCTGCATAAGTGTATGACGAAGGTGGACCAATGGTTTGAACTCCAGAGGAACCCTGGCTAGTTGCACCAGACCGTAAGGCATCTCCAGATGTCATCTCACGGCGTAAATGAGCCAGCTCAGCTTCAGCAGAGCTCATGGTGTCAACATTCTCATCAAAAGCATTACGGCTGGCAGGACGAGAAGGATGTCCTGTGACTGGGGCTGAACGACCAAAATCATCCTGGAAAAATTGGCAAATTAGAATGAGAAACATGTAAGTTAAAACTATGACTATCAAATGTTAATTATATACTTTGTGTCAGAATGATTTATGAAGAATCAGATACACCAATTAGCTTGGCAAAGCCCAATATATGCACAGATGAAAAAATAGGACAAAAACTATATCAAAATGGTTTTTAGGAGCAGAATTAAATATTTTAAAAAAACATTGAAACAACCGTATCTAATCAAAACCGTAGCAAATTTGCCTATATTTATTTAGAAGGCACAGACAGCCAAATTGCCAATACCACTGTGGTCTTGAGATTAAAAAAAAACACACTTAAGCCACCAATAATTGGGATACAAGAGGATAGACGAGAAACCGTGAAAGCAATGCAAATGATTACTTGCAAAACTACAAGAACAGAACTTGTAGAAATAAAAGGACTGGGTATTTAATGCATCGGTTTCAGTTGTTGCTGCTGTAAGAAAGGAAATAAATAATTTTATTAAGGTAATTGGCACACATAAAAACAACCACGTGTCACAGAAGTCCAAGATCCATTCACTATAGTTTACAACAAACAAGATTCTCATGTTAAACCTTGAGACATGAAGTGATTCCCATTTGCAATCAATAATTAGTAAAATACTCCAGCCCATATGAAGAAAACGAATGGTCAAGATAAATATAAAAATGAACATTAAATTATGTTGTTTAAGGAAAGCAAAACTAACTGCAAGGAAATAGAAGTAGAAAATAATTTTCAATTTAAAAACTTATTCTACTCTAAAAGGTAGCTAAAAATCAACCTAACAAAAGAACAACATTAAACCTCAGAGACATGCACAAGAAACTAGAATTCAGCCAATTTGCAGATATGCCATATCTTTAATTCTAAAATCAACAAGAGACAGCAACAAACTTCAAAACGACAAACCAAGAGTTATTGAATACCAAAAACAGTAACTAACAAGTGGAAATTACTTGATGAACGTCAAACCACACCAAATAAATTTAATCACCTGAAAGATTTCAGCAAGACTCTTCTGTTTGCTCCCAAGACCTATCCCTGACAAACCAATCAGTCCATCTCCACCACCCCACTCACCGCGTACCTTTTCAGGCTCAAGATCACCCTCCTGCTTCCTCGAGTCAAATCCAGGTGGCATAGAAAACAGTGATCGATTGCCGTCATTGCTATCAACTCTATTCACTTTCCTCCTATCTCCAATCCCACCCAACATGGAACTCCCCCCTTTGAGTTTCTGCGCAAACCTCCAATCCCCCTTTGAAACCAAAGGAGGAGGGAGCCTAGGGTTAAGATTCACATTCGAGTAATAGTAGTTGAGGTAAGCTGGATCAGACCTAAACTCCTCCTCGGTCGCAAACCCATTAGCAATCTTAGCTCCCGCAAGCTCAGAGAAGGCGACACCACTGCCACCGCCTCCACCACCAAATAGCCCACCAACTGCACTGAGAGAACCCTCTATAGTCGGCGGCGCAGAGCCACTTCTATACAAGTTCAGTTCTCGCTCGCGATCATCGGCGTCCTGCCTACGCTGCTCGCGAAGTAACAATCCTATCTCCTTCTCCAAATCATCCCCAAACGACCCCTCGTTTCCACTTATCATTGGTCTCCTACCCAATTCAGACAACATTCTCAACAACCCTAATCGATCATCACCTTCCCCTAAACAACAAGACCCAAAAGAGAATCACCACCCAGAAGCAATAATCATAACTTTAAACCCTAAAAATGACCCAAACCAAAACCCCACTAATTTGACACGCCTAAAACCCGTATTTACAGCTTGAAGACGCTCACTTTAACGTAACCAAAAAAATCAAAACTTTAATCGCCTAAGAAGCAATAATACCCAAAATTCCGTTCCCTAACAAAAACCAAGATTACCCATAAACAAACGCAAAAAATCAAAACATTGAAAAATCTTCGCCAAAAGCTAATACCATAAATCAAAGGTAGCGACTGTCTAGCACCATGTTTGCAAGCAAACAAGAGAGAAAGCAAACAACAGTAACCCAGAAGAAAAAAGCAGAGAAAGCAAGCAAAAGACGAAGACTTTATATAGAGGTTGGAGATGAAAATAAGAGTGTGAAGGGGAGAGTTGACGGCCGAGATCAATCCGGCGGCGATTGGTTCTTACAAGAACCCTTAGGGTTTTGAACCATTTCTCGGAGGGATTAAATACAGTTGATGAGATAGTAGTAAAAATTAAAAGAGAGCAATGGGGTGGGTGTTAATTAGATAATATATTTTTTAAAAAAATAAATAATAATTTTGTAAAATAGTAATAGTTACTGCTATTTTCCTAAAAATTAGGGGTAATTGACCAAGTGATAACCGACTGATGTAGAGAAATTTTTGGCA